CGTAGGCCGGTGTGATGTAATAGGATTTGGCATGTGACATCAATTCGGAGCCAGGGATCGAGACTTTCTCCGAGTTTTGTATATAGGAGGCTGAGTTGAGTAGAGCCAAAAGAACGCCTCGAGAAGACCATGAAAACTTGTAACCCAGAGGATTATTGGAAGCTTCGGGAGCCGGCAAGCCACCACAATAAGATAAGAAAGATTTGATCTGTAGGTTTTGAATAAACTTCACTAAAACTTGGCGATTAGCTTCTCACCTTGCCTCCCGAAGCGTGAACCTCGTCAATGATCTTGACAGCATACAGGTGATCAATGCCTGGGTCCAAGCCAATTTCATTCATGACCACAATCCCGGCTTCCTTCGCTTCGGCATCCAGTTCGCGCATGGATGGAGACACATAACTCGTTGTCACAACGTGAGTCTTGCCTTTGATGGCGGCCTTAATCACTTGAGCGTGGAAAGTATATGGGATCAAGGATATCACGACATCGTGGCTAGCGATTGCCTCTTCTAGAGCTTGAGCATTGTTCACATCCAAGCTAATAGGCGTGGTTCTAGGAAGACCTTCTCCTAATTTTACTGATGAGGCGAGTGTTCTGCAAGCTATAAAAATTATTTTAGCCTGAGGTTATATTGTAAATTTATGGACTGACCGATGGTCAAATGATTGACAGGGCCCCTGACTACATATTCAGCGCAGGGCCTAGCCACAAACCCGCTACCAAGTAGCAATATCTTTTTGGGTTGCAAACTGGGATCGGCGGTTGCGCCGAGAACCGGCAAGATATTTTCTCCGCTTTCCAAGATCCGCTTTCCAAATTCGGGGAGCGCGAATGCTGCCTTGTGCACTTCCTCATTATAATATCTTGTTCCCGTGATTTTTCTTATAGGGTTACGTAGGTCCCTGTTAGCATCCTTGCTTGCGAGACAAAACCCGATTTGACCTGATGGGTAAGTCGGAATGGTAGTAAAGGCATAATCAACCACAGGGAAGATTTCCTTTACCATGGTATTGGTGGACTTGATGAGAGGAAGGTGGATCCATAAGCACTCTCCTTGAGTCGATATGCTACCTCCTGGTGCAAGTGCATCATGGAGAAGCTGGAAATATGGCTTTTGGAAGAGAGATTCGGCGGGTCCAACAGGATCAGATGAGTCTGTAATAATAACGTCGTAGGTTGAGGTGTTATCTGCGAGGAATTTGAAGCCATCGCCGACGTATACTCGAACACGGGAGGAATCGAGTAGCTCGGACATATGAGGTAAATATTGTTTGGAAACTCGAATGACGGCCTGAACACTTAAATCAGATCCGAATTGGCAAAAATTAACGTGGTTTAGGGCGTACCTCATCGATATCACAAAGTACGACCTCCTCTACAGTCTCGTGGCGAAGAACTTCCCGGACAACACCACCATCGCCTCCACCAATGACCAAGACTTTTTTGGGGTTTGGATGACTAGCAAGTGGGATATGTGCGATCATCTCTTGGTACCTTTTGACGGAGAAAACTCAGCCAGACTGTCATAGATCTAGATTGGGGGCAATGATTTCGACATACGAAAATTCGTCCCGCTCGGTGCATTGAATGACGCCGTCTAGAACCAAAACATTCCCATACGTCTCAGATTCAAAAACGAGAACGTCTTGGTATAGCGATTTCTCTACATGCAAAATCCGATTGACCTTCAGAGTCATGGCCTGACCAGGCCATTGGGAAGAGATCTCGCGGAACCAACCATCTATCTATAGTTCAGTAACTTTTTTAACTTGTTCTGAATGTTTTCTCAA